AAGCACAATAAGGGGAAGTGCAGTGCACAAGAACCATAACTCCATCTTGACTAATTACAGAGTTATTGCCCTATTTTACTTTTCCATTGCTTTTTTGTCCGGAGCATAACTTGAAGACTAATGGTTGGAATTCAATATAACTTCATACAATGGTCAAGCACATTGAGAGGAAGTGCAGTGCACAAGAACCATAACTCCATCTTGACTAATTACAGAGTTATTGCCCTTTGTTACTTTTCCTTGTCCAGAGCTTAACTTGAAAACTACTGTTTGAAATTCAATACAACTTCATACAGTTGTCGAGGACATTAAAAGGAAGTGCAGTAAAATACAGAGTTACTGCCCTTTGATACTTTCCCTTGTCCGGAGCATAACTTAAAACGTACTGGTTGGAATTCAAAAAAACTTCATACAATGGTCAAGCACAATAAGAGGAAGTGCAGTGCACAAGAACTATAACTCCATCTTCAGTATTTATAGAGTTATTGCCCTTTGTTCCTTTTCCTTGTCTTTCTGGACTTATTACAGAGTAATTCAATAAAACTTCATCAATGGCCAACCACATTGAAAGGAAATGCAACATACAAGAACCACAACTATCTTTAATTGCCCACAACCATAACTCTATATTTCAATTCTTTTACAAGGTATTCTGTTACTAGTAACATCCTCATTTCTGAAGCAGTCTTGTGGGGGTATTAATCACATTTAGTGATAGTTCTAGTTTCATTCAAATTCAAAAACATCAAAATTTTTTTGAAACTTGAACATAATAATCTTTAAGGATAGCCCTTTAAAATAACCAGACAGACCTTGACCTTCGCTCTTAAATGACCTTGACTTTAAAGGTCAAATTATTGAAATTTTCATTTTTTTGGCTGTAACTGGCTGTAACTTTGCTATTATTGAATGGATTGACTTCATATTATAACAGAACATTCTTAAGGACAAAACCTTCATGTTTATCAAACTCAAATTGACTTTTGCTCTTTTATGACCTTGACCTTGAAGGTTAAATTATGGAATTTTCACTGATTTGTGCATTAAATGACCATATATATTTATTGGTGTGTGTGTATGTATGTATGTTTGTTTGTTTGTTTTGGGTTTTACATCACATCGACACAGTATAGGTCATATCGCGACGTTCCAGCTTTGCTGGTGGAGGAAGACCTCAGGTGCCCTTCCGTGCATTATTTCAGGCACGAACGGGCACCTGAGTAGAACCACCGACGTTCTGTCAGCTAGCTTGATAGCTTCCTCACATGAAAGAATCCAAAGTCCCTGTAAGGATTTGAACCCACAGCGGTGAGGGGCAAGTGGTTTGAACAACCTTAACCATTCGGATATATATGGAAAGGATTCATACATTGACAAAACTAATGTGACAAGACAGACCTATTAAATTTATAAAAAGGAAACGTTCCTGTGACACATTTTTTTCATGGTTTTATTTCATAAATATGATGCTCAAATTAAGATTTGTCAATTTTGTAAGTTCCAATAAGCATTATTTATAAAGATATTACCGAATTTAACATTTCATGTAAATAAAGAGAGGTAATTAGATATTTATTTTCTATAAATACTTAGTCAAATTTTCCAATAAGAAATGAATGCATATAATTAATTGATTAAATTTAATGTGCACAAATATTTGCAGTACACATTTTACATATTCATCGATGTTTGAAAATTGTGCATTTCTCTCTCTTGTGTCCTATCACTTTTTCACCTTCTCACTCCCAGATAATATGGACCACATAATGATGTTGTAAGCTACCTTACAGCTATATATAATATTGAAAACTTAAGTTCCATTTGGCCCACAATATTCAAACTTCATAGGAATATTATTAGGAGTGTCCATATTGGGAAGAAGACCCCTATTGATTGTCCATATTGGGAAGAAGACCCCTATTGATTTTGGGGTCACAAGGTCAAAGGTCAAGGTCTCACAAGGTCAAGGTCACTTTTACCTTACTGGAGCATAACTTAAGTTCCATTTGGCCCAAAGTATTCAAACTACATAGGATGATTGTGCATATTGGGTAGAAGACCCCTTTTGATTTTGGGGTCAAAGGTCAAGGTCACTATTACTTTAAAACTGAAAACAGTTTCTGGAGCATAACTTAAGTTCCATTTGGCCCACAATATTCAAGCTTCATAGGATGATTGTCCATATTAGATAGAAGACCCCTATTGATTTTGGGGTCACAAGATCAAAGGTCAAGATCAGTATTACTATTACCGCTCAATAACTTAGCTTATAACTTATTAATCAACCACAGCTGTAAAATTTTAAAAGGATGAACAGCTAAGTCCAATACATGACCCCTATTGATTTTAGGGTGATAAGGTCAAAGGTTAGGGTCACAATGATCTTTATGCTGAAAATTGTGGTTTCTGGAGCATAACTTAAGTTCCATTTGGCCCACAGTATTCAAACTTTATAGGATGATTGTCAATATTGAGTAGAAAACCCCTATAAATTTTTGGGCATCAAGGTCAAAGGTAAAGGTCACTATTACCTTAAAATTGAAAAACAGTTTTAGCTCAATAACTTAAGTATTAATCAAACTAAAGCTGTAAAAATTTATAGGATGAAAAGCCATGTACATTACATGACCCCTATTGTTTTTAGGGTCATAAGATCAAAGGTCATGGTCACAATGACCTTAACAATGAAAATTGTGCTTTCTGGAGCATAACGCAAGTTCCATTTGGCTTTAATGTTCAAACTTCATAGGATGATTGCCTGTATTGAATAAAAGATCCATATCTGTTTTGGACCCACAAGGTCAATATCAAATGACCTTAATATTGTTAACAGTTTTACAACCTTCAACCTACATAGGATGATCTCTTATATTGAGTACATTAATTATATGCCCTAAAAAATGGTGCTTTTGAAACAGCAACTGTATATATATGAAGTTTCTTCAGCTATCAAGGAGGATTGCTTTTTAGCTCACCTGAGCTTGCTCAGGGTGAGCTATTAGGATCGGTGAATGTCCGTCGTCCGTCGTACGTCCACAATGGCTTGTGAACACACTAGTGGTCACACTTATGACTCAATCATCATCAAACTTTGTCAGGATGCTTGTTTAGTCAATTGCTCGGATGAGTTCGAAACTGGGTCATTTCGGATGGAAAACTAGGTCAAAGGAGCTAAAAATAGAAAAACCTTGTGAACACTCTAGTGGTCACATTTTTGACCCAATCATCATCAACCTTTGTCAGAATGCTTGTTTAGATTATTGCTTGGATGAGTTCGAACATGGGTCATCTCCGATGAAAATCTAGGTCACAGGAGCTATAAAAAGAAAAACCTTGTGAACACTCTAGTGGTCACATTTTTGAACCAATCATCATCAAACTTGGTCAGAATGCTTGTCTAGTCAATTGCTTGGATGAGTTCAAACATGGGTCATCTCTGATGAAAAACTAGGTCACAGGAGTTAAAAATAGAAAAACCTTGTGAACACTCTAGTGGTCACTTTTTTGAACCAATCATCATCAAACTTTGTCAGGATGCTTGTTTAGATAATTGCGCAGATGAGTTCGAATATGGGTCATCTCTGATGAAAAACTAGGTCACAGGAGCTATAAATAGAAAAACCTTGTGAACACTCTAGTGGTCACATTTTTTACCCAATCATCATCAAACTTAGTGTGGATGCTTGTCTAGTCAACTTGTCTAGTCAATTGCTCAGATGAGTTTGAATATGGGTCATCTCTGATAAAAAACTAGGTCACAGGAGCTAAAAATAGAAAAACCTTTTGAACACTCTAGTGGTCGCATTTTTTACCTAATCATGATCAAACTTTGTCAGGATGCTTGTTTAGATAATTGCTTTGATGAGTTTGCACATGGTTTATCTCCGATGAAAAACTAGGTCACAGGAGCTATAAATAGAAAAACCTTGTGAACACTCTAGTGGTCACATTTTTGACCCAATTATTAAGAAACCTTGTCAGGATGCTTGTTTAGTCAATTGTTTGGATGAGTTCGAACATAGGTCATCTCGGGTGAAAAACTAGGTCACAGGTGCTAAAAATAGAAAAACCTTGCGAACAATCTAGTGGTCACATTTTTGACCCAATCATCATCAAACTTTGTCAGAATGCTTGTCTAGTCGATGCTTGGATAAGTTTGAACATGATTTATCTCGGATGGAACTAGGTCACAGGAGCTATAAATAGAAAAACCTTGTGAACACTCTAGTGTCACATTTTTGACTCAATTATCATCAAACTTGGTCAGGATGCTTGTCTAGGTAATTGCTCGAATGTCAAGCTCGAATATGGGTCACCTGGGGTCAAAAACTAGGTCACACTGCTCAAATATGGATAATCCTTGTTAACACTAGTGGTCACATTTTTGACACTCCTGTCATGAAACTTGGTCAGAACGCTTGTCTAGGTAATTGTTCGGATGAGTTTGACGGGTCAGGTGAGCGATCTAGGGCCATCTTGGCCCTCTTGTTGAAGGAGGTAATACTTTATTTAATTCTCATGTCTTACAACTGCTTCATCCTTACTAAAAAAACAACAAAAAACACTTTAGGGCATATAACGCTCCGCCTAGCGGTGCTCTTGTTATTGTTTGTTTTATTGGATTAAATTTACGGTGTTAGAAATGAGCACCTGCTTGCGAAAGGGTTTATGAGAAGAAATGCGTATCCATTCTGTAAGAAAAGCTATAGGGGAATGGATAAACTCAAGAATATGTGTAATTACAGGGGAATGGGGAACCTGTTGCTGTTGGTACCAGTTTTGACTGGATGACTAAATAACATAGCACCATTCTCATTTTTTTAGTGCCAATGGCGCAAAATCGCTCTGAATATGGAGAGGTTTGTTCAACATTTTAGTTACTTACTGATGACTACCTAAACTTAAAAAATTTGACCTTTGTCTGTCTGCCTGTCTCTTTCCTGAGATCTCTTTGGAAGTACTTGGAACTTTCTGGTAGAGGACTTCTGAATTGCTTGTTACTCTTTTATTCAAGCCATAATGTTCTTTATTTTCTAGGGTAAAGGTGCAAAAGCCTTGCGCAAGAAAGAAAAAAGAAAACTGAGAAAAGCTGAACAGGATCAAAATATTGTTGTTGAAGACACTGAATTACTGAGTAAAGCTCAGTTAAAAAAATTAGTGTAAGTTTTGGCTAAATAACACTTTGGTAACCAATGATTTTGTGGATTGTCAAATGTCTTCTTAATATTATCAGTGATGAGAAGCAAGTTGAAAACAATTTTAAACCAATTTATGTTTTAAACTTAATGAAACACCACCAAATCAGAGGTGTAACTAAGTGTACTCCTGTACGCCCGTGTGTACAAATCAATTCTGTATTCCAAAACAAAACACCTGCACTCAAAATTATAGAAATGTAATAAAAACAGAGGGGGTAGGATGGTCGAGGCACATGCTCATTGTAGACCTACTAATTCTTTCGATTTCAGTAAGTTCAGTAAGTTTTTTCATTCAAATTTATGAAACATTTATTGATCGAATGAGCTAGTGAAATACATACATAAAGCATTTAAATCCACCTTCAGAGCTACATGTATATATCTATAAAAATTGTAGCTACACACAACAACTTTTTATTTTGAATGCTTCTGGTGTTACACACTGATCTATTATCAAGCTATTAAGTGTGTTAATTTATTAAATATGTTATGATATTTAAATATCACGCTCTGCCCTGTGGTGGCTCTTTCACTGTTTTCACACAAATAACAGTCTATCCTGAGGTGAACACTTTGGGGCCACTGGTGTGGAAAATTTGTTACTGTGTGGGAGCATTTGTGTTAACTAAACTTGTTTACATATGTATTTACAGGAGACAGCCAACAAATAATATTCGGCCATCAGGTAAAAGAAAAAGGAAAATGCTGAAAAGATTGAGACATTCACAAAAGGAGGAAAATCACATGGATGGTAGGTTATTTCATTGTAATGAAATATCTTCTTTTTAGCTCATGTGAGCACCAAATGCTCAGGCTTCTGTGTTGGCAGTGTGTTCGTTGTTTGTGGGTTGCCACAATTTCTTTAAACAACAAGTCCTCCTAAACTTCTTAGTTGATTTTGATTAAACTTCACAGAAATAGTCCTTGAAATGTATATAAATGATTCCAGTCTGATGCTTAAGTAGGTCACAGTAGCTAAAAATAAACTTAAAAAATGAAATCTTTAAATAAATAATAAAAATAAAAGCCCTGGGGTCAAAATTGGCCACGCCCCAGGAGGTTATTGTTTTTTATATGCCCGAAAGAATTTTATACCCCCTGGCATCCGTCTGTCCGTCCGTCCGTTAGCAATTTGGTTTCCGGAGCATAACTTAAGTTCCATTTGGCCCACAATATTCAAACTTAATAGGATGATTGTCCATATTGGGTAGAACACCCCTATTGAATTTGGGGTCACAAGGTCAATGGTCAGGGTCATTATTACTTTAAAACTGAAAACAGTTTCCGGAGCATAACTGAAGTTCCATGTGGCCCACAATATAAAAACTTCATAGAATGATTGTCCATATCGGTTAGAAGACCCCTATTGATTTTTGGGTCACAAGTTCAAAGGTTAAGGTCACAATTACCTTAAAACTGAAAACAGTTTCCGGAACATAACTTAAGTTCCATTTGGCCCTGAGTGTTCAAACTTCATAGGGTGATTGTCCATATTGGGTTGAAGACCCCTATTGATTTTGGGGGTCAAAGGTCAAGGTCACTATTACTTTCAAACTGAAAACAGTTTCCGGAGCATAATTTAAGGTCTATTTGGCCCACAATATTCAAACTTCATCGGATAATTGTCCATATTGGGTAGAAGACCCCTATTGATTTTGGGGTCACAAGATCAAAGGTCAAGGTCACTATTACTTTAAAACTGAAAACAGTTTCCAGAACACAACTTAATTTCTATTTGGCCCATAGTTTTCAAACTTCATAGGATGATTGTCCATATTGGGTAGAAGACCCTTATTGATTTTGGGGGTCAAAGGTCAAGGTCACTATTACTTTCAAACTGAAAACAGTTTCCGGAGCATAACTTAAGGTCTATTTGGCCCACAATATTCAAACTTCATGGGATGATTGTCCATATTGGGTAGAAGACCCCTATTGATTTTGGGGTCACAAGGTCAAAGGTCAAGGTCACTATTACTTTAAAACTGAAAACAGTTTCCAGAACACAACTTAATTTCTATTTGGCCCATAGTGTTCAAACTTCATAGGATGATTGTCCATATTGGGTAGAAGACCCCTATTGATTTTGGGGTCACAAGGTCAAAGTTCAAGGTCACTATTACCTCAAAACTGAAAACAGTTTCCAGAGTATAACTTAAGTTCCATTTGGCCCACAATATTCAAACTTTATTGGAGGATTGCTATTTGAAGGAGGTAATACTTTATTTAATTTATGTAATGTCTTACAAATGCTTCATCCTTACTAAAAAAAAAAGCACTTTCGGGCATATAATGCTCCGCCTAGCGGTGCTCTTGTCCATATATGTATATAGTGAAAACTTTAAAAAATCTTCTTTTAAAAGACCCAAAGAGCTAGAGCTTAGATATTTAGCATGAAACATCTTCTAATGGGTGTCTACCAAGTTTGTTCAAATGAATGCCCTGGGATTAAAATTCCCCCGTATTGGTAAAAACTCAGGTAGCTTTGTAGAATGACCTCTAGAGCATGTTGCTGAAAATTGCAAGTTCTGCTTTAGTTTTGTTTAATTAGCTAATTTAGTTTTCCAAATGCACACGGGATTAAGATTGAGTCTCCCTCGGATTTCTGAATACTCAGGAATGTTGTGGCATCATTTAATGATATGTGCCACAGGGGATTCTCTCGATTTTAAATACATGTATGTGGCCATACCACGTGACTTTTCGGGTACGGAGCACGCCGATTTTTCACCCAATTCAGGTATGTTTTTTATTCATAACTTATTTATTACTTAAACGATTTTAATCAAATAAGGCGCAGAGTACCCGTAATTATATCAGCTTGCCACGGTATATCAAAATTCTGAAAATCCCTGAATGGCTTTTGAGAACATTCGAGTACAGTTTTCTTCTTATAGCCGTGGCTGAGGGGAACGGTACACACTCATTTGTCATAACAAGCGATTTCTAGCAAGTCATATGTTTTTTGTCACTATTTCATAGAAAAAACATGTTAAATCTGATATATCTACTATGTATAATAGTATGTTATGTTAAAATGGTATCGAGCACACTGTTATTTCAAAAGATACAGTACACACACAATTTCTGTCTTTGAAATAATTCTAAAATAAAATATATGAAAATTTAATTTAAATTATAATGTGAGTGATTTTTGTGCACCCACTTTAGTGGCGGGTATTTAGATTTACTCTTGTCCGTCCGTCCGCACTTCCTTCTGTCTGTCCATCCATTCTCTTTTGTGTCGCATGTAACTCAGAAAGGATTTGACCTAGAGTCATGAAACTTAACAGGAATGTTGATCAGCATGTGCAGTTGCGCACCTGGGTATTTTCGTGTGGAATTATTCAGTATTTTTAGAGTTATTGCCCTTGACTTAGTAAAAATTTGTAATTTTCAATTTGTGCCTCACGTAACTCAAAAAAGTATTTGACCTAGAGTCATGAAACTTTACAGGAATGTTGATCAGCATGTGCAGTTGCGCACCTGGGTATTTTTGTCTGGATTTATTCAGTATTTTTAGAGTTATTGCCCTTGACTTAGTAAAAATTTGCAATTTTCAACTTGTGTCGCATGTAACTCAAAAATTATTTGACCTAGAGTCATGAAACTTTACAGGAATGTTGATCAGCATGTGTAGTTGTGCATCTGCTTATTTTTGTCTGAATTTATTTAGTATTTTTAGAGTTATTGCCCTTGACTTAGTAAAAAATTGCAATTTTCAACTTGTGTCGCATGTAACTCAAAAAGGATTTGACCTAGAGTCATGAAACTTTACAGGAATGTTGATCAGCATGTGTAGTTGTACACCTGGGTATTTTCGTGTGGATTTATATAGTATTTTTAGAGTTATTGCCCTTGACTTAGTAAAATGTTTGCAATTTTCAACTTGTGTCGCATGTAACTCAGAAAGGATTTGACTTAGAGTCATGAAACTTAACTGGATTGTTGATCAGCATGTGTAGTTGTGCACCTGGGTATTTTGGTGTGGATTTATATAGTATTTTTAGAGTTATTGCCCTTGACTTAGTAAAATATCGCTATTTTCAACTTGTGTCGCATGTAACTCAAAAAGGACTTGGCATAGAGTCATGAAACTTTACAGGAATGTTGATCTGCTTGATAGTTGTGCACCTGGGTATTTTTGTCTGAATTTATTTAGTATTTTTAGAGTTATTGCCCTTGACTTTTTGCAATTTTCAACTTGTGTTGCATGTAACTCAAAAAGGATTTGACATAGAGTCATTAAACCTTACGGGAAGGTTGCTCAGCATGTTTAGTTGTGCACCTTGGGTTTCGCTTGTGGATTTATCCAGTATTTGTAGAGTTATTTCCCTTGACTTAGTAAAAACCTTTTCATTATGTTTTTAGCTCACCAGAGCCGAAGGCTCAGGGTGAGCTATTAGTGTCAAAGGGGGATGCTCCATCGTCCGTCGTCATGCGTCAACAATCGTCTTCTTCTCTGAAACTATTGAGCAGATTTACTTCAAATTTGGTCTGTAGCATCCTTGTGACAGTCACACTTGAATTTGCTCATGTCATTCCAATTGGCCCCTTTTAGGGGTCAGCAGAGCTAAAAATAGAAAAACCTTTAAACATCTTCTTCTACAGAACTAATGGATGGATGATCACAAACTTTGTCTGTAGCATTCTTGGGTAGTCTTTTATCAAGTTTGCTCACATTAATTTGATTGGCCCCTTTTAGGGGTCTCTAGGGCTAAAAATAGAAAAACCTTTAAACATCTTCTTCTACAGAACTAATGGATGGATGATCACTAAACTTTGTCTGTAACATTCTTGGGTAGTCTATTATCAAGTTTGCTCATATGAATTTGATTGGCCCCTTTTAGGGGCCACTAAAGCTAAAAATAGAAAAACCTTTAAATGCTATTTCTACAGAACTAATTGATGGATGATCACCAAACTTTGTCTGTAGCATTCTTAGGTAGTCTTTTATCAAGTTTGCTAATATTATTTTGATTGGCCCCTTTTAGGGGTCTCTGGGACTAAAAATAGAAAAACCTTTAAACATCTTCTCCTACAGAACTAATTGATGGATGATCACCAAACTTTGTCTGTAGCATCTTTATCAAGTTTGCTCATATTAATTTGATTGGCCCCTTTTAGGGGCTGCTAAAGTTAAAAATAGAAATACTGTTAAATGTCTATTTCTAGAGAACTAATTGATGGATGATCACCAAACTTTGTCTGTAGCATTCTTGGGTAGTCTTTTAACAAGTTTGCTAATATTATTTTGATGGGTCTCTAGGGCTAAAAATAGAAAGACCTTTAAACATCTTCTCCTACAGAACTAATTGATGGATGATCACAAACTTTGTCGGTAGCATTCTCGGGTAGTGTTTTATCAAGTTTGCTAATATTATTTTGATTGGCCCCTTTTATGGGCCGCAAAAGCTAAAAATAGAAATACCTTTAAATGTCTATTTCTAGAGAACTAATTGATGGATGATCACCAAAGTTTGTCTGTAGCATTCTTGGGTAGTCTTTTATCAAGTTTGCTCATATGAATTTGATTGGCCCCTTTTAGGGGCCGCTATAGCTAAAAATAGAAACTACAGAACTAATGGATGGATGATCACCAAACTTTGTCTGTAGCATTATTAGGTACTCTTTTATTAAGTTTGCTCAAAATAATTTGATTGGCCCCTTTTAGGGGCCGCTAAAATTAAATAAAGAAAAACGTTTAAACATCTTCTCCTTTAGAACCAATTGATGGATGATCACCAAACTTTG